TCTCCACAAGTAGGGGACATCATTAAGATCGCCAAGTTACCTTAGCAGGAAAGTAGTTGCTATGTTTCTCTTGGGACTTCTCATCTTCTCATGCATATCAGTAAACTGAAAATAAAAAAGGGAAGGTTTCATTGATGAGGACAACCTGAGGTCAAAAAGATGAGGGAGACAGCTATCTGCCCATTATTTAAGAGAAGTGCAATCATAATCATTCTCTCAGGCACCTCTAAGGCCCTTGCAGGTGAAAAAGACCTACTACTTTTCAAGGCAGTACAAATGCTTGATGTGCTGCAATAATTAATGAACAGGGACATTGCATGGGCAACCTTGATCATAACTACACATTGTCATTAAAGTAATTATATTGAAAAGGAAATGACTCTTCGGGTGTTTTTTCTGGCTAGATGAGTGTTGTATCAAAAAGCCTTGACTTAGTGCAATACAACAGATGAAGTCCTGGGATTTGCCCAGAGTGTGTAAATCAGGGCCAACACAATCCCTGTAGAACGCTGACCAGTACTTTAAATTGCAAATAAAAGCTGAAGAAGAACAGCTTCCTGAGCAGCATACAACAAAGATTGGCTTGGTCTAAGACTTATTATATATTATCAGTACTATATGTATCCCTGTTGTCTCCCAATAGAAGTGCCACAGGACAGCGTGAACTTTGAAACACAGTGGCACAATAGTTTCACACTGAAGGACTGGACATAATTTTCTTTTCCCTATTCTGAATTCCTAAATAGTCAGAAGGCAGAAAGAGTCTAATTAGAGATGTGAAGGTTTGGAAAGGAAACAAATTTTCAAGAAGAAAAACCTCTTGCTTCCAGTCCGCACCAGTGTTTGAGCAGCCGTCTGCCATGGAAAAATGGAAAAGAAACTTCCTGGGGTTTGGTTTTTTCCTCCTCTTTTATCTTTTCTGAATACTAAGACGGAGCAGTTGGACTTGTTCTTATACAAATCTTCAGTCTAATGAAGTACATAAGAATCAAGTTAAAATTTCAGTCAACAGTTCTAGTAGTTTCAGACTCTGGCTTATTATTGCTCAAAAGAAAAACTTAACCTATGCCAATATTTCAAAAAAGCATAATTTAAATGCTCTACAGGACTGTCAGTGATTGTGATTATGACCTTGACTCTGATTATGACCTTCTAGATGATAAGATGCACTATCAAAGAGGCTGACCTTATCCTAAATTTGGGGTTTATATCTAAAGCTGCTTTTGGTCAATAGGATGTTGTGACAACTCTATTTTTTAAAAAAATTATTTTCAAACTGCATTATCTTGTGAGGCATCTAGTGACACAAAATTTCTGAACCCTGTAACTTTATTTTCCTCTTAGTTTATTTGTCAGTAATGGATGGGGTTTATGTTTATCTACCCTTTTCTTCTCACTTTTTACCTTAAAATCACATCAATAAAGAAAACATATGTATTATAGTGCACTATAATACATACATTATATGCAGGAGAAGGGACTGTCACAATTCAAAGTAATCAATTCATATGTATTTATTTTACAGTTTTATTAAACAGTAATTTTTATATGCTAGCTAAATAAAAGATTCCTCATCTGTAAGGGAATAAGTAAAATTTAACTCTGTTTACTAAGTGGTCAATTACTAATAGATGTCATTTTACCCTCATAAATAAATATAAACACTGTGATTAAGACCAGGACTTCCAGACCTTAAATTTCCAGCACTGACATGTCCCATTGTTTTTTTGTTTTTGTTTTTGTTTTGTTTTTTTTTAGTGTTCCTTAAGTGATCATTTATAATGAAAGAGGTTGTTGATGCTACTGGGTAACAGAAATATCATTCAACAGATGAGAGATGAAAGAATTACTCAGTAGAGGAGAACCTGGTCTATTTCTCCCTGCCACTCATTCATTCAGTGTACCCCACTGTCTAGGGAATAGATAGTTTGATACTATCTAATTTTGGAAACACAGAATATAATTTAAGACTTTTCTTTGCTGTCAGAACTGGGTGCTTCTGCCTCAGGACCAACATCAGGTGTTGGCCTCCAACTGTGACACTCCCAAAGGCAGTGCAGTGAAGACCTGATACAAGACAGCTTTGAGAGCTCCACACTGCCCATGGCTTACCTGCCTTTAGGCAACAGTGAGACCCATATGGCCTTGTTTCCACTAACTTTTCATGGAAAAGACCTTCAAGATCATTGAGTTAAACCTTTGACCAAAACCATGTCAACTGAACCATATCAAGTGCCATGTCTAGTTGTTTCTTGAACACTTCAAGGGGTGGTGACTCCACCATCACCCTGGGCATCCTCTTCCAATGTCTGGCCACCCTTTCAGTGAATAAATTCTTCCAGATGCCCAGCCTCAAATCCCCTGGTGCTGCTTGAGGCTATATCCTCTTCTCCTGCTGGCTGTCTGGGAGAAGAGGCCCCACTTCACAACAACCTCCTTTCAGGTCACTGTACAGAGCAATAAGGTCCCTGCCTGAGCCTCCTCATCTCCAGGCTAAACACACCCATCTCCCTCAAGCTGCTCCTCATAGGACTTATATTTTTGATTTATATTTTCACAATATTTCTCTTGCTGAAAAAAAAAAAAAGAGAAAACAAAACCACCAAACCTCTTTTTGGTGGCAAACAGCCTTGAAGGAACAGCACAAAACTTAAAATTCTCTGCTGCAGGTAAACATAATCAATGTTTAAAGTATTTTGCACCTTAAAATGATACATTTCACTTTTTCAAGGTCACTGAATCAAGCTGGAAGGTGGCTGAAGAGAAAACAGCACATGAGTTCTGTATGTCTCTTCTAAAGCTTTTCTTCCATTAGGAGATGGGCTTTCCCTTTTGCAAAGTGCCAGATGCATGACTGGGCCCAGAGCCACCTCCCTTCCTCACGACATAGACCTTGAACGTCATCTGAACACACAACTCCCACAGAAGTCAGCAAGCACAGGTAAACTCAGCCCTCAGGTATTTATTGCATGTCTAGCTCAGCATCACATAATACCTTGGGCCTGGTCCTACAGCTGCTGCAGTGAACCAATTTCCCTGGGTTCCCCCTGGATGGGGTAACTAATGAACGGTTCCAGAGCTGATCCAGCTTTGATCAATAGGTTGGATTACAAGCCTCCACAGATCTCTTCCAACATGAATTTTCTTGTGGTCCTAATGTACAGGTTCCATGGATCTAACTGCAAGTGTAAGAAAGGGTGGGAGGAGAGATGAGCAGCACAGAGACAGAGGCTAAAGTTTAAAGCACGGCTGATGACAATTTCTTATCTCTCAAGTATTAGATTGTTTGTGCTAGAAATTCCTACCTCTTCTTCCTGAATGTGAAATCAAACCTGAAATCAAAATTAAGTAACTGATTTTTGCTAAAGATTTCCCCAGGAAAGATTCCTACTGCCAGACAAGGCAGTAGAACTTCATTGGAAATAATTATATCATTTGAGTCCTTATACTCCAAACATGCAAAAACACATGAGTTTTTCACCTAAAGTCTGAACAAATGTCCTGTTTCTCCAGTTGTGGTATATGTTTTCTTTGGAAATTTAGTTAAGAGGTTTACAAACCATTTATTTAATTTGATGTGCCTGTGGGCAAGGTAGGGTACACAGTTTTGGGCAGGGATTTTTGAACCTAAAGTGAATTGTTTCCTCAGCAACTGTATTCCCTGGAAACAGAAAACTTTCCAAAACAGGTCTTTGCACTGACAAATATGCACAGCTCCGTGAAAGCCTGAGAGGCTGCAGGGCACTGCTCTAGCATTTCAATCGCACTTGGAAAACAAACCTCAAAAGCCAGAATCTACTGGCTCTTCCCTCTGTTTGGCCACCAGCTCTTTTAATGATTTCCAGGAGAAACGACCTGGCTTTTTTCTGTCCCAAGGCCCTTCTGAATACCTGGATTCCTCAAGATGGAAACGCGACCCTGTTACCTTACATAGATATGCATTTCCCCTGAAAAATCCCCGATGTATCTGCTGTTATCTTCCCCTCCCTTCCCCTCAGGGTCTCCCCCGCAGCCCTAGACCAGCCTCTTCGCTGCGGGCAGCGGCCCCGGCGCGGGCACAAACCCTTCCCACCCTTATTTCATCCCTCCGCCCCTCACCTGGGAAGCGCCGCCGGCTGCGGGCCCCGCCCCGCGCTCCCACCGCCGCCTCCGCGGGCGGCCGGAGCAGCGGGCGCGGGCGGGCGCGGGCGGGCGCGGGCGGGGGCGGGCGGAGGGCGGGTTAAAAGCGGCGCCAGGTGAACGGGGTGGGACCTTAAAGCTCCGGGGCGGCGAGGCCGGGGCCGCCCGCTCCGCAGCCAGCGGCGGAGCCACGCTGATCGGCGCAGCCTGGCCGCGGTGCTCCCGGCGGGGTGACCGCCCCTCGGCAGCGGGCGCCGCTGAGGCAGGTGAGGGGCGCGGCGGGGCAGGGCGCGGCGGGCAGCTCCCCCGGG